CGCTCAGCGGGCCACGGTAAAATTATCAAAGGCTGACTGGTCCGCGGCGATAAAAAGGTTGGGGACCACTGGTCTAGGGTCTCCTACTCTGGGCACGAGTTCGGACTTGAAGACCTCCAGCCTTAGGATTCTAAGATTGCATGGTTCTCCATCATCCTTGAGACTGTCCTACAGAAGGGATCAAGTTCTTTGATGCCACTCCTATGTTGTCTTTCCCTTCCCCCCCCCACAGTTACCGCCAATATCGACCGCACATCGAGCATCGATTATTCTCTGGTTGGGCCACCAGTTGCAACAAGTGATTGTGTAGACCTGGACCTCAAGGTAAGCTTCAACCGAAAGCTTGGATGGGCCTTCAGAAGAAAGCTTCCCAGATGGTAGAGTTTGCCTGTCGTTCTTCCCTCCCACTTCTCAGTGATCTGGGGGGGTCTCAGCCTCTTCTTACCAGCACAGGATCCTGCCCCGTAGTTCTCCTTTGCTTCTCACTTCAAAATGGGGAGGTAAACCAGGTTCCTGACTTTTTGGTGGGTGGAGAGGACATGATGGACGACATCACCCACCGCTGCTATTAAGAGACTTCTGCACTTTGTCTCTTGAAGTGCCAGTTGGATGTCATGGTTAAGGCGCCAAGCTAGAAACTGGGAGGCTGGGAGTTCTAGTCCCATGTTAGGCATGGAGACCAGCTGGGTGACTTCGAGCCAATTGCCAGGAGATGGTGAATTCTAGTCCCGTCTTAGGCAGGAAATCCAGCTGGGTGACTTTGAGCCAATCACCATGTGAGTTTGCCATATCCTGGTGATTCGCCCAGAGTCACCTAGCTAGCTTTTAGGTGTAGGCTGGACTAGAACTCACCGACTCCTGGTGATTGGCCCAAAGACACCCAGCCGGCTTTCATGCCTAAGGCAGGACTAGAACTCACAATCTCCTGGTTTCTAGCCTGGTGTCTTACTCACCAGGCCAAACTGGCTCTCTAACCTTGATCTCCATGAGGAAGATATTCCACAAAGCTTGGGACACTGCCCCAAAAAATCCCATTTTCTGATCCTCGGCAGCCAATTCTCTTTGGTTGACGGGATCTTGCAACGCGTCCAATCGGCTGGATTGAAACGGATTGATTCCATCCCTCAGGGAGCCTGGTCCCTGCCCTCTTTTCGTGTCTTCTTAACTTCTTCATCCATGTCCTCCCACCAGGGTGAATTCTTCTCCAACGTCCATCGTTCTCCTGCTCCTTTCCCACCGCCTCCCCTCTCTTTTCCGGTGGATCAGGAGCGCATGGTCCAGTTTGGGATCTCCACTTACTTCTTCAACACGGCTGGTGACGTCTACTACAAGGCAGGAGCCCTGACCTTCTGGATGGTGGATGAGATGGTGAGGCCGAGCAGATCGTGAAGCCCAGAAGCCTCTGGGAGGGACAATCCTGCTTTCTCCTGGGGAGAGATGAGAGAAAAGACGGGAAGGGGGGAGGAAGTAAGGGAAGATAGAAAGAGAGATGGATAGAAGGAGTGGTGGGAGGAAGGAAGGGAGAGAGGGAGGGAGGGAGGAGGGAGGGGAAGGGAAGAAAGAGGAAGGAAGGAAGGAAGAAAGATTGGAGGGAGGGAGGGAAGAAGGAAGATTGGAGGGAGGGAGGGAAGGAAGAATGGAGGGAGGGAGGGAAGAAGAAAGGGAAGAGGAAGGAAGGAAGACTGAAGGGAGGGAGGGAGGAGGGATGGAAGAAGGAAGGAAGGAAGGAAGAAAGGAAGGAAGACTGGAGGGACGGAGAGAGGGAGGAGGGATGGAAGAAGGAAGGAAGGAAGGAAGACTGGAGGGAGGGAGAGAAGAAGAAAGGAAGGAAGGAAGACTGGAGGGAGGGAGGGAGGAGGGATGGAGGAAGGAAGGAAGGAAGGAAGTAAGTTTGGAGGGAGGGTGGGAGGGAAGAAGGAAAGAAGAAAGGAAGAAGAAGGAAGGGAAGAGGAAGGAAGGAAAACTGGAGGGAGGGAGAGAAGAAGGAAGGAAGACTGGAGGGAGGGAGGGATGGAGGAGGGAGGAGGGACGGAAGAAGGAAGGAAGGAAAGAAAGAAAACCGGAGGGAGGGCGAGGCGGAGACCTTCTCTGCTCCCCTTCCTGCTTTCCCATCTGCTTCCCTCCAACCCTCTTTGCCACCTGCAGGTCCCTCAGGAGATCAAAATCCGGCTGAACACCTCCTCCTTCCAGCCCTTCATCCCGCAGGTCAGCCTCTCCCCCTCCATGCCCCAGGCCCCAAGGGAAAGGGGAGGGGGGCATGCTGCATGGGGAGCCACTAAGTGGGGACAGGGAGGGCAGCATCCAGAAGCTTCTGCGGTTGGTTGCTCTGTCCAGAATGATGAAGCCCAACACTTCAGAAGGCACAGCTGGGGACTGAGACTTAGGGAGATGCTGTGGGGAGGGGCGTTTGCCGGGAACAAATGCTGAATTTGTAGAGTTTTGTGTGTGTGCTGTTGAACACATTTAGAGTTTGCAGGATTGCTTGCTTCTTCCTTAAATCACGGACTCGTCAGTAGCTCCTTGTTTTGTGGGCTCACTTCCCACTTCCTTTGCTTTGCTAGATTGCGTGCAGCCAGAGGCTGCCCGCCCCCCGTGTGTGTGTGCGTGTGTGTGTGTGAACTCCTAAAGTTGCCATAGTGGGAGAAGGGGGAGGGAGCACATTCCACACATACTTTCCGCAAAAGTTGGGTCTCAGATTACCGCAGCAGGCTTGGGAGGGCTGCACCTCATTGGGGAATGTGATTTATGACACAGACTGAGCAGAGGGAAGGAACAGGGCCAAAGTCCAGCTATAACTCAAACAAGGCTCAGATCTGACTGCGGAAAGGCCTTGCCGAAATGGTGCTCCTAATAAATGACTGGCTTTCTTTTGAAACTTGGCTCGATACTCATGAATCAATTAGGGCATTTTTAGGAAACCTGACACTGTCTGTGTGTGTGTATCCTGGTTTTGTGGACTCATTTCCCTCTTCCTTTGCTTTGCTGGACTGCGTGGAGTCAGAGGCTGCCGTGTGTGTGTGTGTGTGTGTGCGCGCGCGCGCACATGTGTGCTTTCCTCTGGGACTTGCCAAGAACATGGGAGCATTTGGGCCCAATTTTGGAGCATTAAAGCGGAGTTTGAACTCTCCGCTCGCTGTTTGGAATTCATGCCTCATCACAGCAGGTCTTCAAGTAGAGAAGAGGACCATCCCTGGAAATGTGACTTTCTCCTTACCGTCCTCAGTTGAAGACGCTCTACCCCAACTTGGCAATGAAGCTGAAGCTCTCCCCTTCTTCGGCCCCGTCTCTGAGCATCGCCCCCGAAAGCCTCTCACTGGCCGCTTCGGTTGACATCCAGGCCTTCGCAATTCTCCCGAATTCTTCCCTGGCGCCCCTCTTTCTGATCGGAGTGGTAAGTAA